AAAGCACAGACAACGCGGCAGCCGCTGCGTCATCCAATTCAGCTGCAGGCAATGTGCTTAAAACTCCAACTCCGCCACAAAGCAAGTCACCTGATAAAATCAGTGCACAATCGCTTTTTCACATGAGACCAGGCCCACCATCGGCCCCGCCTGCGAGCAAAGCACACACGGATACCCCGGGTACCGGCGTGTTATCCTCTGACCTTCACTCCGCAACTCACAATAAGGATGATGAGCAACCACAACCTCCGGAACAACAAGCTGCCCAGGACGACACTTCAACAGAGGAATCGTCGCCGGCAAATTCACCCAAAGAATCGCCAGAGACTCAGGCAACAGACGCTGCGGGTGCTAGTAGCCCTGAGCCAGCCAGCGAATCCAGACAGGACGACGACCTCGCCAATACTGACATCTCGACGCTACAAAAACTGGAGAAGAGAGCATGTGAAAGAGTGGCATCATATGAAACAAGGCTTTCCAATGCCCGCGAGCAACTATCTCGCATCAGAAAGCGCCTTAAACGAATGAGCGATGACCGATCATCAGATACTCTACAACCCTCTCCTAGAGCAGACATAGAAATGGAAATCATGGATTGACCAGGCAGACAGCTAGCGTTGCATGCTCCTGACTGTCCGGAACCATTCGACTAGTGATGATTTAATTTAATGCCGCCCTACTCCACAGTGCGCCAAAGGAAAAGCAGCCGCGTGCCGGGCTAATACCCCCCAAACCTACCGTACGGGATAACACCCGCTCAAGGTGACCCCCATAAGCTGCAGTAAGGGGATTTACGGGGTTTCGTGTTTTGTGTGAGGGGCTTGCTTTAATCTGTCTGCGAAGCTGTTTGGTTAGATGAGTGTCCCAGGTCCTGTCACCGTTAGTCCTCTAGGTATTTGTCGAACCAACATGTCCTGTGAACCAAGTACTTGTTTTTCTGATTGTGGGTTGCATAATCTGTCAGAGGCTCAACTGTTCGCACTGCAGCTTTTGTGGCTCCACTAGTTTCCATCGCTAGGTCAGCCATCCGACACCAATTTGTACACCTAGGTGTAACCCAATCCTGATTGTTTTGCTTTTTACCACTTTTGATTTCCAACGCACGGCCCCGCCAGGGGAACCCTGACCCCGGGTGCCGGGTGTTCGGGGTTTCCCTGGCATAGCCAATCCCGTTCACACGTTTTGCACCCCCTACCAGCACAGTACACACTGCCTTCGGCCGGTCGCTTGGCACCTGACATCGTGGCTACAAAACATTGAACACTTGCCAATGTACAGGACGATTCATGACACGCTGTACACCCGACAATTTGAAGATTTGTGGCAGCAACCGGGCCTGTCAGGTTTTCTTAGCACCTGGTGCGTACAATGTGGCCTTCAACATCATCCAGCTGCCCTGGTGGTCCATCACTGGCAACAGCATCGCGACAACAGTCAGTGGGCGGCCCAGATCAAGTACCAGATTGTTACCAGCATGTTGGGATTGCAAGATCAAGATACCACATGCAATTTCTGTGGTCAACCTGTCAACTTGCCGACAGATCCTGCCAATGCATTGCAACCTGAACGATTTATTGCACTGCAGATTCATTTTGCCTCAAATTGCCCTGTTGTGCATCAAGCTGCGCAACTTCTGTTTCCAATCGATGGACGAGACGATGCCAGAACTGGATCAGAACGACATGGAGCTTCTGGCCTCCTTCCGAGAGCTGGGGCCCCTTCTGCAAGCGGCCAGCCGCTATCAAAGAGACCTAGAAGAGGAACCCCATTCCAAGCGTCCCAAGCAAGAAGTGGGCCAAGAGGAAGCCAAACCAGTGGCCGTCCAGCCCCAGGTACAGGGAGCCATGATGGGCATGATGAAAGTGATGGCCAGGCTATTGCTCCAACACGAACGGAGCATACAACTGCTCCACCGACAGGACTCCTTCGTTTTTTATGCCCAAGTCAGTCCACAAGGCGCAGTCCCTCTGCTGACGCAAGCGGCAGTGGAATGGAAAGACCTGCACCAGAAGAACCCCGGCAGTCTGAAGGTACCTACCCTGAGAACACACCTCATGAAGACTCTGACGAAAGAGATCCACCGCCGAGTGCAACAGATGAGCACCAGCAGCAAGGGCACAGAACTCTGGGACAAAGCAGTAGAACGAGGAGTACTTCTCCCAGACGGGTCATGGCCGTATCAACGTTGGAGTCACACAGATCATCGTTTGATCCCAGCGGCCAGACCGCCCCTGCCGATGGCTCGACTCCTGAAGCAGCTTCAGCACATGGAAGAGTTGCTGGAGGATTCCACCCATGTGATCCGATTCCAGTCACTGAAGGCTCAGCCTACGGTCATTCCCTGGTATCTTCAGATATGCATGCGGACGGACGAGATCTGGTTGATCCTGACCGAACTCCAACAGCTGGCGATGTGGAGCCTCCTGGGCCTGACATTGAAGGCACATCAACAGGGGCAATGCAAGCAGGCCCAGCTCTTGCAGCAATGCCTTCAACAGCAGCCCAACCAAGCCAAGGGCAAGGGGAAGGGGAAAGCTCAGGGCAAGCACAAGAACCACTAGATCCTGCAGCTGTCCGACAAGCTTTGCGACAGGCCATCCGAGACATCACCATGGAAAATAGCGGAAATTGGTGCTATGCCAATAGTGCAGTTTTAGCCTTTTTGTGGGCCACTCTGTCAAGGACCACATTCCAACTGACAGATTGGGGAGAATTCTCGGAGCTGTTTCAAGAAATGCTATCACAACCAAAGGATACACCACTTGTGCTTGAGCAATTTCAATGGTTTCACAATCTCATTGAATCCTGGCCTGAACGCCATGGCCAAGCAGACAGCACCGAGTTTTCCAACATTCTTTTGAAAGGGGTTGCATCCCCCAGCATCTCCAATCGCTGGGAACGCAGGGTATTTCAGGAACAAAGAGTTGCCGTGCATGACATGGGAGACCAATTCATGCCCATCACCATCGCATTGGATCCTGAACTCACTGACAATGGCACCATACGCCTTGTTGACCTGATCAGGAACTGGCACAATGAGCTTGGAATGAGTGCAGGCCTCATGGACGCTGCTGACCTCATTTGCATTCATGTTGACCGCTTTCTCAGGTTGCCTACAGGACAAGTGACCAAATCATCCACGCCCATTGGATTTCACTGGGGGATCCCTTTTCCTGTTCTTGCTCATGGTCCTGATAGCACAGAATGCAGTTGGGAAGGTTTTCAGGTTGTAGCGGCCACTGCCCATCTGGGATCTTCTGATGCTGGCCATTATCAGTGCATTCTCAAAACAAGACATGAGGCACGAGCAAACCAGGAACCAGCCCTTTGGCTTCACTGCGATGACAACAGGCCACCACAACCATGCTGGTATCTGCCCCCAGAGTTTGCTGCCGGCGTCACATGTTTCTGGTTATGCAAGTGTGATTCATTGGACTTACACGACATGCGGGAGGACACCAGTCATGAGACAGGCGCGACACTGGGCACAATTGCATCCGACCACCATGCGATGCTGACCATGCTCAATAGCTTGCCGACCTAAACCAAGCCATGCTTCCTGCCGGAAGCACCCATGTCCCTGACCCCCAGGTCAGGATGACCCTTTACATGCCCTCTGCAGCCCAGAGCGTACCCCTGTTGGAAAGGACCCCAGAAGATGTCCAAAAAAAAACGGAATAGATCCGTTTCACTGTCGTTTCACAATCAAAGGGTCGTTCATAACAGGTTGCAGTGCAGAGACTTCCAAAATATTACACATTTTGCCATTGCCATCCACTTGCGTGTATGGCATTGCATGGGCATTTTGCCCTCTCCACTATGCCTAGCCGGCGATTCAAATCGAGGGACTCCGCACTCGACAGGCCATTTTGGCCACTGGAATTCATGAGGCATTTTGCTTATTCGATAGATGCATGCTGGCATTTTGCCACTGACACTTGCCTAGTCGGCGCTTCTGAATGTAACTCCGCTTGGTGATCTCTTTTTCAGTTCCTTGGCTTCGACCATAACTGCATATGTGCCACCCATGCCCCTGACCCCCGTTGTCACCCTTTTCATGCCCTCCGTACCCCGGAGTGTACCCCCAGTCAGAAGGACCCGAGAAGATGTCCAAAAAAAAAAAAAACATTCATCATTCTGTTGCTTCCGAAGAAAAAAAAAAGGGGGTCGAATCCATAATGCCCCCATACGTTTCACATGCCATCAATAGTAGCTGTGCCACCATATGTCCTCAAGCCCGATGCTGCCTGCATCCTGAGCCTAGCCTTTTCGGTGCACCTGCACCAAACTACAGACAATTTTTCCTTGCCCTGACTGCGGCTGATTGAACTCTATGCTGCCGACTTGATCCAACCGAACAACACCGTTGGAGCTGGCTGGGCTGACATTTTTTCCCCACTGATGTCAGTCAGCTGAGATGCGGAAGGATCCTCGCCTGTAGTTTCTCCAATGAGAGAACCAGCATGGTCAATACACCATCGCTGAAGTGAGCGCCAGATTCTAATCAGAAAAGGAGCGGAGAGAAAAAACACACACACACAAGCCCTTTGCGGGTGCGATACCCGCCTCAAGTGGTGAGGAACCACAGCGGAATACTGCAGCCATTGCCCGGCCGCACTTAGGGTTTTCCGGACATTGCCATTGGATTGGACATCCAGCCTTTGCTAACTGGTCCAGACGAGTGTTCAATTTTCACGCCGGGGTGGGCCCCCGTGATCTTCCCTGGCCTGATATTGCCATTGGACTGGGCATCCAAGCTGACTGTCCCATTTCAACAGCTGCACGGTACAATTGACACTTGAGCGACCAGATTTTTCTTTATTTGGGCTTAAACTGACAACCCTGACACTGCTGTACCCACCTGCTGGACAAAGCAATCCCTTGTGTGGTACCAGTGTCCTGCTGTGTGTTTTTACAACCAGTTTTCGCATATGTCTCTGCCATTTATTTGGAGATCTCTCTACGGAATTCTGGTTATCGCTATCTGCAACCCGGTCCCAATGCCGGGCATGATCACCGAGAAGGACATCAACTGTAGTCAACCCATACAGTCTACAATCACCAGCTTTTTCAGACGACACGGTGATCATGAGGGTGAGGGTTGCCATGTTGCCACGGACATGGCGAGAGCGCCAGATTGGACAAAATTCTTTCAACAATGGGCGAAAAACAGTGGAACACCGCCAACAGTGGGCCACGGCCCGAATCAGCAGCCTTTTAAGCAGCAATATACTGCAGTACAGAAACGCAGCTACAAACGAGCTTGCCGTCGAGCTGTTCTGACAGGACAAACATGGTACAAAGGACAATGCATGCGACCTTCAGATTTTCCTTCCGGACTGGTGCAATCAGTACAGCAGACAGAGGGGCACCGACCTATCCCCAATATGATGCTGCACTCCAACAAGCCAAAGCCAAGAATTCGGATACTCCATTGGAACCCGGGTGGCATGAGCCAAAGCACCTTTCAGGAGCTCAAGCATTGGCTGCACCGCCAACCAGTTGATTTGGTGATCATCTCAGAGACACGCTGGGGTTTTGAGGCCTGTTGGAATGATAAGGACTGGTCGTACGTGCACAGCCCTTCAGAACAAACCAAGTCAGGAGGGCTTCTGGTTATGATAGCCCAACGGTGGTGTGCCTCCGACAACATAGGCTACACCATGGTGCACCCTGGACGGATTTTACACATTCGCTTGCATTTTGCAAAACGGGCCACAGATGTGATGGCGGTATATCAGTTCACTGACTACCGCACCCCAGACTCAGCTAGGCATCGACGACAGATTTGGAGTCAATTGACAGAACACATCAGCCGTTTGCCAAATCGCAATCAACTCATCTGTGGAGGTGATTTTAATTGTTCCTTGCCGCGAGCTGAACCGTGGTGTGGACCAGACACTTTCAAATGGCGTGCCCAACAAGATCGTGGAGCCCAACACCAGGATATGCACATGTTCAAGGACCTCTTGAAATCTCAAGGACTGGTTGCACTGAATACATGGCACGATGCAGGATACACCTATCAGCATGGCATGTATGCATCTCGCATTGATTTCCTGATTACCCGTTTGAATGCATGCGATGGCCAATCCAAACATGTCCAACACCTATATCATGCTCCTTTTGTACCCTTAAACCAGACACACCATGTCCCAATTTTAGGTACAATCCGAAAGATCCACATGGCGTATCATCAAGACCGTACTGTCAGAGCCTGCAATTTTGCACAAAGGATCCAATGCCGACAAGCACAATTGCAGGATACCAGCCATTGGCATCAACTCCAAGAGCACCTACGCGAGGTGATCACCGTCAGACAGCAGGACACCACACATGACCATACTGACATCAAACTCATTCATCAACAACTTATTCCCAAATTTCAAGAACTTTTTCATGGATCCAGAAATCAATTACCCAAAGTTGACTATACGGACTTTCACACTGCGATACAGGAAAAGTGGAGACATCATCAATTTCTGAGGCACGCCTGTCAAACCACACACATCACGCTCAAATGCATTTGGCAAGTGTGGCAGCATTGGAGCAGATTTTCATTATTGCGACGGACGCAACAGAAGCGTGCCCGCCTGGCCAGATCACGCCGATTTGCCGAGCTCTGCGATCAGGTCAGTAGGGCTGCAGACAAACATGATGCACAACAGATGTTTTCCATCATTAATAAGTTCTCGCCTCGCAAACCTATGATGAAACTCAGACTCCGTACAAAGGATGGCAACATTGCTGACCAGTTTGAAACCCATGCACTGCTGGCTGATTATGTTCGCAGCACCTGGCAAGGCCCTTGCACACTGCCACATTTTTCTGAACACCCCCCTGGGGTACCGTTCACGGTAGATGACATTGCCAGAGCTGTTACCAGACTGCATCCAAACAAGTCAGTTGCCATGCCTTTCTTGCCCGCTATTGTGTGGAAGGGAAACCCTCAGTTGGTGGCCACTTATTTGCATCAACTATTAACCCACTGGTGGAATGTTTATCCCCCAATCATCCCGCAAGAATGGAAAGACTCGTGGGTATACTTCATCCCCAAACCTGGTAAGGCCTGTAATCGACCAGAACAATTGAGACCAATTTCTCTCATGGAAACCCTCGGAAAACTAGTGATGGGTCTGGTCACAGACTGCCTGAAGCGGCATTTGACACGGACCCTGTGTCAGGGTCCCCATTTTGGCTTCCTGCCAATGCGAGCCGCAACAGATGCGATCTGTAGGGTCTCCAGGCATTGCGCTTTGATCAGGGAGCTGGTGAAAAACCATCGGAGGACAGTTGCAGCCCAAATGAGATCTCCTCCTACTGCCACCCTCATGGGCGGCCTACAGCTGTTTCTGGACCTGACAAAAGCTTTTGACCGAGTCCACAGAGCCACGTTAATTGAACATCTCCACAAATTACAAATCCCATCTGACCTACTTACTATCATCACCCATTGGCATGAAAACACACAATACAATTTAATGTTTCAAAATGACACTACTCACATATCAGCAGGCATTGGCCTTCGACAAGGCTGCAAAATTGCTCCCATATTGTGGGTGGTATTTATGCACCGGCTGCTTGATCTTTTGGTACCCCTGACTGGGGAAGACTGGATTCGAAATTGTCTGACATTGTATGCGGACGATCTGCATGTTGGTTGCTGCTTCCACACCCCAGGGCAGTTGGATCGACACATGACCAATATTGGACATTTGCTGGATTGTATTGAAGACTTACAACTTCAGCTCTCTTACCAGAAATCCTATGTCATTTTGGCCACAACAGGGAGCAACCAACGCGGGGCTATGAAAAGCCGTTTCAAGCGAACCAACCGCGAGACCTTTGCCTTGTTTCCACGGCGCGATGGCAGCAAAACAGAACTACCCTTGCGCAGTCATGGGGTTTACCTTGGCACCGTGATGTCATACCACGCCATTGAACTGCAGACATGGAACCACCGTCGAAGAGCTGCATGGAGTGCTTTTGCTAGACTGGCTCAATGGCTTCGACACCGACAATTTCGGTTACAACACAGACTGTATTTGTGGAGAACATGCATCAACACCATACTGACTTATGGATTGTTTGCAACTTCATTTACTTTACAGACTTTGCAGGCCTATCAGCTCACAGTTTATCAAATGTTGCGCAAAATCATTGGTGATCATGCATACGTGACAGGTCACAGTCATCAGCAGGTCCTTCTCACATATGATCATGCCCAGCCAATGGACATCCTCTTTCAGCTAGCTCAGAGCCTATGGCATCGGCTTCAACAGAGGCAGCAATGGTTGGCACCCGATGATTTTCTCCATTGTGTTGATTGGTCCCATTTGCAAGATACACTGCATTTGATACAAACCATTGCAACCAGCTTTCCGGAGGTGCCCATTGGCGCTGGGGACGATGATTGCCAGCAGATGCAGGTACGCTACAAATGCCAGCAATGCACCTTTGTCACTCACTCAATTCCCAACTTGCGAAGACACAGTACAACTGTTCACGGTACATCTCAACATCGCACATACAATCACACCATCTTGGACATGTCCCTGAATGGACGTCCACAATGTATTCATTGTCATAAACATTTCACCACATGGAGACGATTTCAAATTCATGTCGAACGCAATTGTTGTCAGGCACCCCAACCGACGAGATTGACACAGCCCCGGTCGACCAACCAGGCCAGTGGTAGCTCACAGGCTGAGTCATCCAACTACCATGTCACCATACAGCCGTTCTGGACGGAGCTCAAGGACAAGATCCAGCGACAGGCGTGGCAGGAAGTTGCTGAGCTTCCAGATGCAAGTCAGTACCTTACACACTCATGTATGGTGTGCGGCATTTGGAACAATCGCTGCCAAGAAATGAATGGCCACTACCGACTTCATCACCCGGACCTGACGCAGGGTATTTTTACCAAGTCAGCGCAGATCACGAAGCTGATGCCAAGCACTAGTCCATGCGTGCTTTGCAAGACACCCTTCAAGCGAGGGCACATGTGCAAAGTGGCCACTCAACTGGCGGCTCTGGCTCTGCATTGCCTGGACCTCACCTGCAACCAGTTATGCTGTGATATTTGTGCCATGGAGTTCGAAACAACAGCCCAATTACATGCTCACCTCAGTTCTGACCATGAAGTTCAAATCCACGACTGGAACGCTGCCAGGGACTCTCTCCCGGAGAGCAATGGATGTAGTCACTGTGGCCAAATATATGCCACACGTGCAGGACTGCGTCGTCACATAACTGACGGGCGCTGCCCGTTCTTTGAGCCGATGGCGTCCAACACGCCACTGAATGCAGCAGCCAAATGGGCCCTGAATCTCCAGTCGGGCGCCATTTCGACCACCGGCTTGCCAGCACAACAGAGGCTTCAGTTGACGCTACATTGCCAGTTCTGCGGGGAGGCGTACTCAAGAAGCAATGACTTAAGCGCGCATCTACAACAGACGCACGCACAGCTCTGGGCTCAGTCAGGTGAAATGGTCCGCTTCCTCTTGCAGACGTTGACTCCATATGTGGGCTGCCTTTGCAACCCTTCCACCCATGATGTGAGCCGCACCCACATTTGTAATGTGATCAGACAGCTGTCCATGATTTTCCTGACCAGTGAGCAAGACCTCCTGATCCCCTGGCATTTCAGTGACGCTGACCTGCGCATGGCCTACAGACACCTGCTGCCCAACCCACATGTGGACATGATGCTCAATGTGCTGGTGGACAGAGATTACAGCCATCTATGGCATGCTCCCACGCTGTTGCAATTGCTCAGACAACGTTGCGTGCTTTGTGGAATACAATTTCATCCAGCAGCACTGACGATGCACCTGGTGGCACAACATCATGACGACAGCCAGTGGGCGGCTCAGATCAAATTTCAACTTGTGCAATGCTTTCTCCGTGAACAATCGAATGATTTTCAGTGTAGGTTTTGTGCATTGATTTTCAATACTGAACACTCCACTGGGGATGAGACTGCTGACCGCACTGCCATGGTCCAAGCACATTTTACAGCGTGCTGCCCAGTGCTTCACCAAATTGCCTTTCTGCTCCTACCGATCAATGGCAGATCAGCCCATGATGGATCAAGCAGATACGGAGCTGCTGAACTCGTTTGCGGCGCTGGGACCCCTGCTGCTGCAGGCCAGTCAGTACCACCGCTCAAACGACGACGAACCCAATCCCAAAAAACACCGACCTGCCATGGTGAAGCAGGAGGACGATCAGGGCCCAACGCAGAAAGCACTACTGGGCATGGTGAAACTCATGGCACAGGTCATCATCCAGCACGACAAGGCCATCCAGATGCAACACAGACAGACCTGCTTCGTTTTGTTCGTCCAAACCAATCCCGGCAGCGCTCTGGGGGTGCTGACACAACAGGCCCTAGCTTGGAAGACGCAGAAGAGCACCGACCAGGCCAATCCATTGACCCTGAGGACCTTCCTGTTGAGGAGCGTCATCCTGGAGCTGCAGACGAGACTGGTGAAGCTTTCACAGAGCTCACAGGGCAATCCAATTTGGGACACGGCCGTCCAAGAGGGAGTGATCCTGGCGGACGGCTCTTGGCCGTATCAACATTGGTGTCACAAGGAGAAGAAGCTGATCCGATCTCATCGCAAACCCATGGGGATGGCCAGGACTCTCAAAGAAGTTCAGCTGCTCACGGAGCTGCTGCAGGAGGAGGGGCAGGTCATGCGCTTTCACAGCCTGAAGCCGCAGACCACGGTGGTGCCTTGGATGATCGAGGTGAGCCTCAGAGAAACCGAAATGTGGAACACCCTGATGGGCATGACGCAGTCAACGCTGTGGACGCTGGTCGGAGCCTCACTCAAACAGCACTCACAGGCGACGAGCAGACCGACCCAGATGCTGGAGCAATTGTTGATGGGCCCGAAAGGCAAGGGCCAGGGGAAGGGCAAGAAGAAGAGTACTTGAGCAGACAGGCACGCAACGCTCTGCGTGCTGCCCTGACCAATCTTGTCCTGGACAACTCCAGTCACCTTTGCTATGCCAATGCTGCGGTGTCTTGCTTTCTTTGGGCCAGTCTGTCGCGATCGCACTTCAGCTACGCTGATTGGGGAATACCAGCCTCTTTGTTTCGTGAAATGTTGAGTTCGCCTGAACCCTATTCCATAGACAGTCAGACATGGTATGAAGACCTCACACTTCATTGGGATGACAATCATGGTCAGGCGGACTCTGCCGAGTTCACACAAATGCTGGTTCAATGGGTGTCACCTGCGTTTTATTGCAGCTATTGGCACAGACGATGGATGCAGTGTGAAAATGTGCTGATTCATGACCACGGAGACAGACATCAACCACTGTTTCTGCAACTTGAGCCAACACACGTCACCAATGGTATGATCCGTCTGACTGACATGCTGAGGAGCTGGCACGGGGGGCTTGGCATGAGTGCAGGACTGCTGCGCCCTCCAGAGGTCTTTTGTGTTCACTTGGAAAGGATGGTGCAAACATCCAAAGGTGCACTTTACAAGATGCAGACCCCCATCATTTTCACAGGAAACATTCAGGTACCAGTGTTCCAAGGCAACACACTGGAATGCAGATGGGAGGCCTACCAGGCGGTTGCGGCCTTTGCACACTATGGTGAGTCAAATGCTGGCCACTATCGCGCGCTCTTGCGCACTGAGCCAGGTCATGTTGGCCTTGATGCTACAGCATACTGGCTGGACTGCGATGACTGCAGGAAGCCCAAGCCCTGCACGTATATCCCAGAGGGATTCATGGCTGGGGTCACATGTGTTTGGCTGTGCCGCACGGATCTCATCGAGTTGCATGACTGGCACCAGCCACCCAATGCCACCACGCCAGACAACACGTTGCTGCACTTGCTGACCAGCACCACGTTTTAAAAAAAAATGATGCATCACCGGTTTTTGCTATGGTGATTGCTTAGGATTTATGATACAGGGTCAGCCCAGTCAGCGACAAAGAAGTCTACAGGCTGAGGTGTGCTCACAAGGTACCCAACCTGGTTGCCAAGCCTGTATCACTCCGGCACTTTGCCATTGCCTAGCAGGTGACCTCGAAACAGATGCCATTTTGGTGCACCCTATCCATGCATTTTGCTCCATGCCTAGCCGGCGCCTTCGACCTTGTATGGCATGGGACCCTTGAAGTTCCTGTGCATTTTTCAGGCACCCTGCCCCCAGGCAGGCTTATCCCCCAGGCCTGAGAAACCCTCAGGTGGACCCCAGTCCAAAAAAAAAAAAAGACTGGTCCAAGAGGCTTAGCCCAAGGTGTCACGAAGACCAGAAAAAAAAAAATTAGGTCCGTTTCACAATGCGCCCAAAGTGGCTGACTCGTTTAGGGAGCAGTCCAGTGGCACCAGAATCATTGCTGGGCACACCAGCTGCAACGCCATTTTGGCGATACTCTCACCCAGAAGGCATTTTGCCAAGCCTAGCCGGCGATACTTCCCAATTTGCAAGCCATTTTGGCTATCCACTGACGTTTGTGCCGAGGCCATGTGACTATCCGATACCAATCCTCAATTGCCACAACCTGCTGCAGTGCACCCGGTGCCCATCCGGTTTATCCCCCTGTTTTCCAGGCCCTCTGGCAACCCCAGAGTGTACCCCAGCACAGGGCACCCCAAAAAAAAAAAACACACATTCTGTTGTTTCTCCATAAGTCCCTGTCGTTTCACCATTTCTAACACTGCCAATATGGCAGCAGCTGCTAGTACTCAGCACCATCGGGGCATGCAAATTTTTGCCACTTTTTGCATGCCGCCAGTAGCTGCACAAGGCTCACCAAGCTTCTCCACTGAGAGAACCAGCTAGAACAACCGTTTCTATGCTGCAGGCGCGCGCGGATTCTACATAGAAAGAAGCGTGGGAAAAAAAACACACACACACACCCACAGGCACAGGCACAGGCACAGGCACACCCACAGGCACAGGCACAGGCACAGGCACACCCACAGGCACAGGCACAGGCACACCCACAGGCACAGGCACAGGCACAGGCACACACACACACACAGGCACACACACACACACAGGCACACACACACAGGCACACACACACAGGCACACACACACAGGCACACACATAGGCACACACATAGGCACACACATAGGCACACACATAGGCACACACATAGGCACACACATAGGCACACACACACACACAGAAACACACCCAGACACAGACAGACAGACAGACAGACAGATAGACAGACAGACAGACAGGTCGATAGATAGATGGATGGATGGATAGATAGATAGAAGAGGTAGATATAGAGATAGACAGATAGATCAGATAGAAAGAATGGTTTAGATAGGATGAATGGATAGATGGATAGATAAATAAATAGATAGATAGATAGATAGAGAGATAGAGAGATAGAGAGATAGAGAGATAGAGAGATAGAGAGATAGAGAGATAGATAGATAGATAGACAGATAGATAGATAGATAGATAAATAGATAGATAGATAGACAGATAGATAGATAGATAGGTAGATAGATAGATAGATGGATGGATAGATAGATAGATAGAGAGGTAGGTAGTTAGATAAATTATTAGTTAGGTACATAACCAGAGAAATTAGAAATGTTTGATTGATTGGATAAATCAGATAGAAAGCCTAGATCGATTAGAAGGGCTAGGCAAATTAAGGCGAAGAGAAAAGATTGATAAAAGATTGACCGTTGTACGTACCAACCAGTAGACAATCAACCAAATAGATGGATCGATACTAGACACAGGTGGATACATGGACCGGTGCAAAAAAAAAACGATATGTGGATCGATGCATAAATGGAAACATAGATGAACGGATGATAGATCCACAGGGAAAAACGTCCAAAGTCTATTGATGTCACCGACAGGTCATTCTGACAAATCATTGCAGCCGAGGGGCGCCCCAATATTTCCTTCACAGGGTAAACCATAACATGCCATGGGTTTGTATTTTGCAGGTTTCACATGGGGTCCACAGCTGTGAACATCTTGGAATTCTAGCCTGGATTTGGTTCAACAGATCTTTCTTAACCAAATGGTTCCGGATGGAAATAGATTGGCGACGCAAAAGCTTAAAGAAAACGAATTGATAGACCACTTTTGCCTAACAGGGCCATAAGCTGTTTGATTGCCGAGACGCACAGGTGCTTCATCTTGGTCGCCAAGCCTGACCAGGGCCAGATCCGTGTGATGTTGGATGGGTTGAAGCTGCAGAGTCCGGCTAGGGACAACTGATGACTGCTTTGGTTGGAGTTGTTGGGCTTGGTTCAAGCTGACTTGAAAAATTGTCAATACGAGAAGCAAAACCAGAACGAATCCAAGCAAACTGGAATCACCATCCCACCCGTGCCTTGCTCCAGCGTCGACACCATGTTGCCCCTCATCCTGGGGCCAACGGTTAAGCATATTGACAAAAGAGGCTCATGAGTCTATGTCCACCAAGAAGTGTTTTAGATTCATATGAATTCTGACCGGAAATGCTCTCAACCACAGGTGTGTGTTTCTTGCACCTTGTAGAAAGTGAAAAAGGTTGTCAGTTCCTATGAAATTGGTTGCCCCTTGATCTCACATAGTAGATGGGTCCCCCAAAGTAGGTAAATCAAAACTGTTTCCACGGCTGGGGAAGGTGTGACAAAACAGCTGCAGCTCCAAGACGGAGCTGCAAACCCGGCCTGCATAGGCATGGTTTGATCCCAATCCATCAGGCCCGCTTGGCGGTAAGAAAGGGTTCGCAGGCGAGCAGAGCCACAGTTCTTACGAGAACGGGAACATAGCAGCATAACCAGTTTGGCTTGCTGTTCCACCCATGTATCTTTAGGAGTGGTGGCAAGCACAGGCACATCCACATTTTGATACCGCAAGAGTTGTTGAACCCCCAGCCTACAAGCAGCCAAGGTAAAAAATTTTGCTTGGTATGAAACATGGGAAGCCCATTCGAACGCGCGTCTAGCCCTAACATTTTTAAGGGATGTTGCTGGGCTGATTGCCCCAGTTTCTCGCAATCGCTGCCCGCCATCGGGCGCCACGCATGTCTGATACAGGTTGTCAGCGATGAAAGCAGCTTTTGCCAATAAGGCTTTACCAGCTATATGGTACCCATCCATGACTAAAACCCCCTGATCGAGCCACAGAAGCGGCAAAAAAAACATGTTTGTTCAATCATTCTCTGGTGTGTTCAAATCGAACCTGGGGTCCGAATTTTGTGGCTCACATGTTTTCACTTAAAAGCGTGCATTTAAGAGAATTGGATCATGCACTCGACCCGCAGCTGGATTCGGCAGCCCTGACTGCCAAGAGTTCTGCACAAAAACGAAACCCTAAAAACGAAACCTATGTGTGTATGGGTACGATGCAATACATGCATATAAATTATGGTGCTATGTATGTTAAATGTGTTTTTTTACCCCCATGTATTTTACACCATCGAAACAACATAACCCACATATCTTGTTTACATAATCGCATGATACATATCTTGTATTCATGTCATGTTTTTCCCCACCTATCAGGTGAGGGTTGTTAGATTTTATGTCAGCTGGTCCTCCGCCTCCTCCTCGTCCTCCACCGCCTCCTCTGCCGGACCTCAACTGCAAGCGCTAGATCGCAGCGTTCCCCGCCGACCCGAACAGCAAGCCCAGGATCAGAGTCTTGCCCGCCGGACCTCAACCTCAAAGAATCTCGGAAGATATACCAGATAGAATGCCAGAAAGAATATGAGAAGATGTGCAAGTATATATGTCAAATTAGGTGCCAGATAGAATGTCAGATAGAAGGTGAAAGTATTTCCCAGAAAGAATGTCATATATTATATATATATTTATTTAAATAGATAGATAAATCTCTATCTATCTATCTATCTATCTGTCTGTCTATCTATCTATATCTATCTTTCTATCAACATCTATCTATCTATATGTAAAATTATGTAAACAAACAAATGAATTTTTACCTTTCAACTCATTTGTGTTTTTGAAAATTTCCTTTTCCACTTTTTCTCACTGTCGCAGGGGTGGGCCTTTGCCGGTCGGGGGCGGGTGGGCCATTTTGACTTGCAAATTTAGGGTCCCAGCAGCTTGATCGTTGCTTCGACATTCTAGCAAAAGACCACAACTTGGCACCAGCAACACTATGTTGCCGGTGTCTCTGCCCAAGTGGTGACATGGCACCAGCATCATTATCATACCGGTGCCAAACCAGCATTTTCCATGACAAGGCCCAAGCCTCTATGATGCCGGTGCCAGATATGTTGCTGATCAGCCCGTCCTGGTATGGCACTGGACTGGCTCTGGTGGCGCGGTTGGCGCCGTGGGCGCCGCGGCTGTTGGCGTGGCAGGCGTGGCACTTGGCGACATCTGCCTCCGCTTTGCGTCGCGCGCGTGGCACTTGGCGACATGGACCATCACTTTGCGCGGCAGACGTGGCACTTAGCGGGCAGGCGTGGCACTTGGCGACATGGACCGTCACTTTGCGTGGCAGGCGTGGCACTTGGCGACATGGACCATCACTTTGCGCGGCAGGCGTGGCACTTAGCGGGCAGGCGTGGCACTTGGCGACATGGACCGTCACTTTGCGTGGCAGGCGTGGCACTTGGCAACGTGGACCGTCACTTTGCGTGGCAGGCATGGCACTTGGTGACATCCACGCTGCAAGTGAATCATCTCTCTCAAATACGACTTTGTCACACACACACACAACTTTGTCGCGCATAATCTTTCACACATACTTTGTGACTAGCCCGAACTTGAGGCTAGCTCAGATACTTTAGTCCACCTGTAGTTGGACTTGTATTTCGTGAACATGAACTTGTAGTTCTTTAAGTTGCATAAGCAACTTGTAAATTGTACAAGTTCTCTGTGTCAAGCTGAGATAATGATAAGTAACT